GGGAGGGCAGCGGGAGGCGGCGGAGGGGGCAGGGACTGAGGGGGCCCGCGCTCAAGTGCAGCCTCGAAACTGATGGGAGGGAATCTGGCAGAGTGAAACCGTGCACACATCTATTAAAATCCAGCCCTTAGGGGTTATCCATCCCAAACCCTCGCCGATGAGGAGGGAAATAAAGGGCCCAGTGGGGAGACGCCCGCCCGCGCGAGCAGGGCGTCCACGGCGGAGCCTGCGCTGCACAGGCCTGAGGTGGGTTCCTGCGTAGAAGCCGTGTGGCCCTGGGCAAGTGAGCCTCTCATTCTTAGCCACAATCTCCTCACTGGTAAAAATGGGAATTATAAGAATAACAAGCGAGATGATGTATGTGAAGTTCTGGGCACGCGCACCTGTGCCTGGGCATGGGGCCGAGGCCTCGCGGATGACTGCCCTTCCCCTCCCCTCGAGCCTACCAGACTCTCCTCCCCTGAGTCTGAGGCTGCACTGGGACCGGTGTCGTCAAAAGTCACAGGGTCAGCTGCGTGGGTGCCAGTTCATGCCCAGGGGCTTCTGGAATGTGTTGAATATCCTTACAAACTACTCAAATGAGAACAACAACAAATGCTGTCAGCATCCAAAATGAAGGCAAAGCAACAGGTGGGGGTGTAAAAGAAACGACAAAAGGGGGGGTAGTACAGAAATCTAGAAACAGCTGGGCTCCAGGCCTCTGAAGGGTGGAAAGAACGCTGGGCAGGGGAACAGGAGCCTCCGCTGGGTCCGAGTGCTGTCCTTCTCTGTCCTGCTCTGAGACCTTGGGCAGTTCACCCTCCATCCACACCTCAACTTCCAGACAGGCACAAAGAAAGGGAAAGAGACCTGCCCTGCTAGCTCTCTACCAACCAGGAGGTCTATGTCCAGGCCTGAGAATGGTCTTGTTTGCAAACTGGGTGAGTGTGGATGGAAAACCCAGTTCCTTTTCCCAGCTACCCCACCAGACTTGTGCCTCTTGGAGATTTCACACAATACAGATGGTGCTCTCGGGGAGCTGGGGCTTTCTAGGTCACCTTTGTTTATAGTTCCTTTAAACCCAGACACAAACCACCTCTTAATTCATGCACTGCTGGGAAGGGGAATCTGTCTTTTAAATATCCAAAGAAAGCCATTAAACCAAGTTGGTAACCATGGTGACTCATAATAAGATCTCCTCTGTAAAAAATGAGTCAGAATGACTTTCCAGGAAGTTTGGTTACTTTAATTAGCTACCTCTTTTTTCTTGCCTTTAAAAACATGCAGTAATTTGATGATCACCTAAGTTCGGATGCTACCAGCCACTGAGCTAAGCCCGTACCAGTGAAAGACTAGGGTGGGGAAGTTCCAGACAGCATGGACTTCAGGGTCTCCTTGGAGCCAAGGAGCCACACAGAATCTTTTACTGAATGGTGGAAGGAGAAAAGTCAATCTCTGGGGCTGACCCTTTTGGCCTGAATGAAGGGAAGAAGGGCACCCCAGCTAGCTGCAGCCCAGAGCACTAAGCAGCAATGCTCGTTCTGAATATTAGAGAATCACAGAGTCCTAAGGATGCCGTTAGAAGTCCCAATGGTCACAGCTGCCCTGTGCCAAGCACTGTGCAAAGGCCTTTAGACAGAACCTCGCTAACTCTCAACCCATTCTCAAAGAGGTACATTAATTGTCCCCATCTATAGAAGGGACGAGGCTACATCCGCTTATCAGATCATACAACCAGTAAGCAGCAGAGCTGTGCTATTTATCCCAGGTCTGTCTGATTCTAAATCCACTCTTCAAAGGCCATCTGTTCCTGCCTCCTAAGGAGGCAAGGTGGCTGGTCGCAGGCCACCTGTTGAATTGGCAGTAACCCTGGGATTACAGTCGGGTTCCAAGAGTCCCAACTTATGTCTGGATTCTTTCTCCTATGTGGCCTAGTTGGTACATAGCTCCCACAGTCCCAGATATGAAACCAGAACTTGCTCAGGTTGTCAACAACACCTTAACCTTCTTAATCCCACCCCGGGATCTGAACTCCCTCCCTCTCCTGGTACACCTTTCTGGGCTCTGTGTGGCTCCTTCTCTCCCTTACATGGTCACCCTGACTTGGCCATGTAACTAATAGCAGCACATGTGCCTGCTAAGTGTGGCTCCTTCCCACATGAACACTCTTAGCTGGGTCCCATGGACATGGGGCCATACACATGGCCCAGGTGAACAGAGTTGGCTCCAGCCAGCCAGGAAAGGTGACCCAACTTCTTCTGAATCCTGGCTTCTGGACTCTGATTTTTCTCTAGGACAGAGTGTCAGAGCCAAGACTATGCCTATCAGCTCCAGCTGGACTGACTTTAGAGCCTTGCTGGAGTTCCTGAGGTTGGAGAGAATTTTCTCCTTGACTGGGAAGAACAGGTGTCCACTGCATGGAGCCTCAGCTGAGAAATCAACCTCAAAATGGATGCACCTGGCCCACACTCTCCTAGTTCAGCAGTCCCTATACATAAAGCAAAATATGCAGCGCTGGCTGGTGTGCTCAGTGGTTAGAGCATCGCCTGCAACCGAAGGGTTTGATTCCCAGTCAAGGGCATGTACCTAGGTTGCAAGTTTGAGGCAGCCAGTTGATGTATCTCTCTCACGTTGATGTTTCTCCCCCCTCTTCTAAAAATCAATGGAAAAAATATCCTCCAGTGAGGATTAACACCAAATATAATATACACACACACACACATATATACATATATATGAAGCCTGTAGCTCTCTCTATGCAAACAGACACTGTTTCAATATTAAACTGGTTCAGGAGCGTTCACAGCAAATGCATCCTGCATGTGCTTCCCCCTCCAAGAGCCCAATTATTTTGTCCCTTATCCCAAGTCTTTAGCTTCAACAATGGAACTGAAGACCTGGAAAAAGATTTTAGCTCTGGGGTCATCGATTCTCTTCCCTTCTCATTTCTAAGTCTCCAGTGATCCAGATGAAAGACTAATTGAGGTCTTGTTTGGATGCTATTAAAGTTAGTTGCTGGTGTTACAATTTATACTCATCTTTCTTTAAGTTATTTTTAATTATATGGAGCTTTCAAAGCAAGGCTTGAACTATCGAGTTAAAAGCAGGCAGGCGTGAAACTTTCTTCTCAGCTGTCCCCTGTCCTCTTTTTCTCCACACAGCGAAGTCATCTCTAGGGACAAACCCTTCCTCTCTGGGTCTGTCTACAGCCCCCCTGCACAGAAGAGGAACACTGCACATGGCGCCTTGGGTTAGCTCCCTGATAGGGCTACTGAGAAACCTGGGGTACAAGGCTCCGGTCCCTGTCCACTGAAGACAGGCTCTGCCTCCCGTCAGTCAGCAGCAGCTGGGAACACAACCCACTGCTTTTAGGGGTGCTGGGATGGCACATCAAGAAGCGACTTTCCTCTCTAACATTTTTGTTTTGTTCTCTAGCTGAGTTCCAGAGGTTTAGTTCCACCGTAGGTCAGTATGTTCTGTTCAAAGACCCGGGGGGGGGGTCATACCCGTCTCTAGGGAAATTACTTCATTCCCTAGGGCCCAACTTTTGGGTCTGCTTGGCTAAAAGACCAAATGAGAACAGACCCCACATCGTTTGAAGATTCCCAGCAACTCTCTCCCACCAGCTGTTTTCCTGTTCCATTCCCCAGAAGAGAAGACCCTTACCTGTCTCCACCTGGCTGAGAGCACTGCGACCGTCCGTGGAATCTGCTACATCCCCACTCATCTTGATATCTGCAGGGAAAACACAACTGATTTTAACAACAGGTCACAATTTTCTTGCTATGACATTATGTGGCTTTAACTAAACAGCAAAAATGAATGTGTAATTACAATAACCATCAGACTTTCAAATTCCTGGTTCCTGGACACTGCCATTAGAATATTCATAAGCTCCTGGTACATATCTCCCCAGTCAGGCTTGCCTCCTTTCCCTTCCTTTCTTTCCCCCTCCTCCCATGCTACTGCAGGGTCTCTCACCTTCTGTATTATTCATGGCCATTTCCTTCTATCCCAAGCCCGTTTTCGTAAAAATTTAACAAGGGGAGGAGTATAGCTGGGGGGG